TGCTGGGACAGGCCTCAGAAGACCTGATTCTCCTCTCACAAGCTTTACATCTGTGTAATTTGATTGACTTCACTAGAGATAGTTATAATTTATACCAGTGCAAGACAGAAGAGAATCAAGCTGTTGGGGGCTAGTCACTTCTGTTTTAGGAGCCCTATTGATATTTGCACACAACTACATTTCTCATTATTGAATCTCAGAGCCTGGACTTAAGTATCTCTTAAGTAACTTGGCACAAGACACCTTGTTTTTAATACAACTGACCAGCACTGTTGAAAATATGGGAACAGCTAATTCCTGTGATAATTACCTGATGACAGCATAAGCCTTTATTTTATAAATTTTGCTACACTAAAGATTGAGATAATACTATAGCAAATCCTGATGCAAACAATAGGGTTTATAGCTGTTGTTCAAGTTGTTAGATTTTACATCTAGCTTGTTTGTGCTTGATCCAGAATTTGCTATTTCAAGGTGGCTGACTATTCAATGGTCAGACATCCACCCAAGCTTGACATGATAGTCTAAAAATAAATAGCTTTGAGCAACAGTACAAAGACTCCTGTGCAGAAGGCAAGAAAAATCCAATGTTTGTGGTTTGCAGAGGTTTGAGAGAAAATGGTCAAAATATATTCCTTACCAGTGGTGATTCATCCTAAACAGGGCCGGCTCCAGGCACCAGCTTGTCAAGCAGGTGCTTGGGGCAGCCGCTCCGGAGAGTGGCGGCCCGTCCAGCTATTCGGCGGCAATTTAGCGGACGGTCCCTCACTCCGCCGCAGATCGTGACTTTTTTTTTTTTGGGGCGGCTGCTTGGGGTGGCCAAACCCCTGGAGCCGGCCCTGATCCTAAACCACTTGGTGAAACTGGAATGCTGATTTTCAAAATGTACACAATACATGTGGTGAAATCTTGAGATGGGGTGACCAGAACTGCCCATGATATTAAAGGTGTGTGGCAGATCATGGATCTATATAGTGGAATTATGATATTTTCTGTCTTATTATATCCCTTTCCTAATGGTTCCTAACATTCCGTTAGCTTTTTTGACTGCCACTGCACATTGAACAGATGTTTTCAGGGAACTATCCATAATGACTCCAAGATCTCTTTCTTGAATGGTAACAGCTAATTTAGAGCCCATCATTTTGAATGTATAGTTGAAATTACGTTTTCCAATGTGCATTACTTTGCATTTATCAACATTGAATTTCATGTGTCATTTTGCTGCCCAGTCACCCAGTTTTGTGAGATACCACCTCCCCTCAGATGAAAGGCCCTATAGAAGAACAATGTATTGTTATAAGAGTAACTTCTTTCATGGTATTTCTACTTCCACTCCCAGATGAAAACATGAAGTACAGCGGGTCAGACCTTTTTGTTGTTAAGTGTATTTTGTCAAATCTCAAGAAAGATCTGTTTTAAAAAAAAAAAAAAAAAAAAAAAAAAACACCCTAAAGAGTTTACCCACACCTAATTTAATGTCAACAGGAAGAAGAGAGACAAACGTTAAATATGACTTCAAAAACTTTTAAATCCTAAATAAGCATAATGTCCTATATTTAAGAGGGGTGCTTTTAACTGACACCACTGGTTTTTAGAGATGTCTCCCAACTGGCTAACCAACCCTTTGATACACTAATCCAAAGCTTTCTTTCTATCTGAAGTCTCCACCTTTGATTTCTCGTAGGTTATCACCAGAGACACTCAGCTGGCCACATTCTGGACAGACTTTTCAGCTGGATGAGGCCATAAGAAATGCAAGAACCATCTTTTTGTCCTGAACAGAGCACCTTCTCCCTCAGGCAAGAATAAGAAACCATAATGGAGGTCTCCTTCTTGAAAGCTTGGACCCTGCCAAATTCCATCCAGGCAGGCCTCCTAAGCCAGCAAGAAAACAACTGGAAACAGAACCTTCTCCTTCCAATGATTTGGCCTATGCACACAAGTAGTAGTCATGGAAACAATAACTGCAATGAGGGCCACCACCTGTGACTCGGACCTCTACATCATTTCTGGACGGTAAGAACAAGCAGAACTCCTGTGAACTCTCCTGACAGATCGCCAACACTTCCTTTGATGAGGTGAATCAGTGCCTGCTCTAAAGTGTGCAATAGCCCAAACAATAATGAGGAAGCCATTGTGCAATGCTGGAGAGCCCACAATCAACTCCTAATGTCTGAGCTCCCATTTCTCAGTAAGGTAATCAAGAAATCAAAAAAAGACTTATGTCACTTGTTAGCAGCCAGTGTCTGAGATTTTCCTCTCAGTCAAACTTCAGGTCAGGGCATGATTCCAAAACAACACATGTTGCTCTTGAGTAGATGACCCCTTTCTGCCAGAGTAAAGGGAAACATCCATACTCATCCTGTATTACTTCTCTGGTTTAACTGATACAACAAATCACCTGGTACGTCTGTGCTGATTCTAAGAAACTGCTGGGGTGGAACAGAGACACCCTGAAATGGCTCCCGTCCTTTCTTTTGGACTGACCCCACAGGTTTGCAATGGGCACGTCTTCCTCCATTTCTAAAGCTTTCACATATAGAGGCCCAGGGCTCATCATATTATTCAGCATCTATATGAACCCATTAGGAGAGCTAGTGAAACAACAGGGTGAAATGCCAGAAGTATGCTGAAGACACCCAGATCCTCTGTCTCGTAGACTTTAAGGTCATAAGGGACCATTGTGATCAACTAGTCTGACCTCCTGCACATTACAGGCCACAGAACCTCACCCACTCCTGAAATAGTCCCCTACCTTCTGGCCGAGTTACTCAAATCCTAAAATCATGGTTTAAATACTTCAAGTTACAGAGAAGTCACCATTTACACTAGTTTAAACCTGCAAATGACCTGTGGCCATGCTGCAGAGGAAAGCGAGGAAAAAAAAAAAAAGAACAGTACTGTATTTCTGCTCTCTCTCACACAATCAGCACCTGAGTGAAAAGCAGCTGGCAGAAGCTGAACCCTGGCAAAAAGAAATGATGCCAGCAGAAAGAGGAAAGCATTTGCCTCTTTTATAGCACCCCCATTACTGATTATTCTGATTATTAAAATGGTCCACAGACGGCGGATCCTTTTGGACTCCTAGATACTGTTGAAGAAATGAAAGGTTAGAAAAGAATCTAGCTACGTTGAGAATCTGCAGTGCTAGTTGGAGTGCACAGTTAAATCAGTACCTCTGACCCACAGCAAAGAGTACCTTGAGTAGGAAGGTGCCATTTTTACAGTCCCTTTACTGACACAGCATGGACCTTTAAGGCTTACCCATCACTAGTTCTGACACAGTTCATGGTGAGGGTCTAGTTCCATTTTCATTTACACAGATGTATATTAGGGATGACTATGGGTAAAATCCTGACCTTACTGAAATCAATGAAAGTTTTATCATTGACTACAATGGGGACGAGATTTCATCAAGGGATGTAAAACTGGTGTAAGTGAGAAGACAGTCTGGCCTGTGTTTCTAACTCTCATGGCTATAATTAGATACATAATATTTCAAGAAGAAAGCATTTATTTACTGTTTTTAAACATACAAAGGCTTTCTCCAAATAGCCTGTTTCAGTAATTACACCCCGCAGGGTCAATAGTCATTCTGAGAAGCTGGCTAATTAGCAATCCCCTGATAACTCCTTAAATGGCTGACCACTCCTTACTAAGCCCCCACTTTAACAGGTGCCTACGTTTGGAGTTCCATTTCCTTATAAAAACAAGGATATACTGATTTGTGTAGTCCCTAGATGGCAGATTCTAACTGTGTAATCTAAAGAAACAAATCACAATTAGCCATCTATGCTTGGAGTGTGGTTCACCCAGGATTTAGACCACCCAAATTGTATATGGATTATTTTTCCTCTAGTTGGTTGTATAATGATTTAAATATTCACTGCCTTCCTGTAGTTAATTTAGTCATTTTTTCAAGAGTCTCACTGCAGTCTATTGCTTTTACTTAAGCTGCGTGCCTAACACAAATTTTGACCACCCCTTCTGTTAATTAAAAATAAAATCTTTTGTGCTCAAAAGCTGTGGGATAATTTTAGTATAACAGATGTAAAATGATCAGCTGTGTTATTCTGCCTTGGCCCTTCCATCCAAACTGGCTGCTATAATTACTAATAAAGGATTTACCCAGGTATGCTTATTTTACATTAGGTTGTGGTATTAGTTGATTATGGTGTAGCTGCTTTAAAGCAAAGAAAAGAGAGAACACACTTTGGCTTATTTTAATGGTCAATATTGGCTTTTGTGTGAATTATCTCATTAGCCTTGTCACCAAATTAGAAGATATCTGATGTCTAGTACTGTACATGTCATCCTATGGGAAACAACTAGAAACTCTAAGAACGATAAAGCAATTAGCTGAGACCACACTAAATCTTTGCTTTATTTATCATCATTAATGCAGTCAGTGTTTCCATGAATTATGAGAATCACCTTTTTATTCAGAAATTTTTTTGGGGTGTGGGTGGGTGACTGATAACCCTGTAAAGTGCTACACATGAAAACCACAAATTCCTTTTTGGCAAATCAACACTTCTCTAGAGAGTTACTACTGTACAAACAAAACGTTTCCTAAGTTCCTTATGGCAGGCAAAACATGGTACATATTCCACTCAGTTATGCTAAAGCAGGTTGTAAGGAAAGCTTAGATTCCTAGATACTAGGATAATACAAATAATAAAAAAATAGATTACTTTTGAAGCAATATTTGCAAACTTTGCAATATTAACTGATCTTTTCTCAACTAAGATGTTAAAATAGAGATTAGAGTAACAGAGGCTCTTATTATACAGAGTATTAAGGTTTTGAGGGGGATATGGTGATTTAATGAGTGTGACAGGGTGCTCTGCTTTTAAAACAGCTGGTATAAGTCTCTTACATGAACCCCTGGACTCCTCCGAAACTTAGCATGTTGGCTTGCCAAGCAGCAGTTTATTTTGCAAGATAACAGCAAAGCTGCTGCTTGAAAATTGCAACAGCTCCCTTTCCTTACTTACAGTTCAGTAGAGTTCCTGGGAATGTCCTGAGGAATCTGGATCACTTTGCTCTCCTGACAGATGAATATCCTGTCAGAGCACTGACAGAGATGATGCTGACATCCAAAGCAATCACCCAGGAAAACCACCAAACAGATTAAAAAAAAAGACATGTTTGTCTTTACATATGTGCTCTCCTCCTTCATTTAAAAGGAAGGCTCCACAGCCTTCTACTGCATGACTAGAAATGACTCCTCTAATTGAAGATCCGCCTTAAAAGCTGAAGTGAATCATGTGATTCTTAGGGGATGACTTGTTTGAAAGTTTCATTTCATGGCCTGTGCTCCACAAGCATTTTAGGGAAGGTGTAGAGAGGAGTTGTATGCTAACAGGAACTTGTTAAAACATAAAATAAGTTTTATCACATAAGTGGCGTGGATGAAGCCACAGAACTTTAATTAGATTATTAAAGTGTTTTAAATCTTTTGCATATTTACACTGCAAAAAGTTCTCTTTCTATAGCTGTGTTTTGCATGTACAATATTAAACAATAACTTGTAGGGACCAAGAACTTTTACCTGTTATTGCTGGATCCCTCTCTCCTTACAAATGCCGCTGGCTTTTCTAGTCAAGGACTTTAATTCTTTGCTAGTACTTTGTGACTTCCTGTGGCAAGCGCACAAGAATTCTATGGTGGATTTTACTGAATAGGGTCTTGACTTAAAAAGGATGCAGTCTCCAAAACCAAAGCAAAATACACATTTTTAATTAACATTTCTCACACTCTTAGGGCACAGTTTGAGCACATTTGTTGGCTTGTGTCTTTGGAGAAACCCTGGTGAGAGAGCATGCAGGGGCAGTAAATGGTTCCTGATGAACAAGGAGTTAATTTAATCTCCACTCCCATGTGGAGGAACAGGGAAGGGCTACAAGAACAGCTATCTGGGAGACAGAGGAGGAAATGTCTTCAGGAAGGCAAGACTCTATCTTGTGGAGTTTATCCATTTACTTTACACTCAAGTTAAATTATTTTTCTGTCCTGTTATAAGAATCCTTGAGAAAGAGACCTTGCTAACTACAACTGTTTCCTTTCACTGAGTCATTCTACCAACTTACACCAGCTCATGTCCACAAGAAATAGGAATTTAGACCTCTCCCTCATTTTCTAATTGAAGCTTTGGAACTAAAATTAAAAGGCCACGTCCTATGGTCTCATCCTCAGTCCTCTCTCAAACAAACTGCCATTGATTTCAATGGCAAATTCCATATTACTTCACTGAAGCTGGCTTGAGTAAAGACTTTGAGATTTGGCCAAAAGTCAATAGGACTAACTAAGATTAGTAAGATTTTTCTGTGTTGAATCTCTAGTTCTTGAAGCCTTTTAACTGGAATTGCTGTTGAAAGTACCAGGATATCAGAGGTTTATGTGGGGCAGAAGAACATTTAGCCAAAGAGAAATGTCTTAATCTTTTATGTTGAAACTTATTTATATAAATGATCAATATATTCACTACATTAATATGCAAAATATTTTGTAAAATGCAATAACACTATGTGAACATGTCCATTAATTAGTACCCATCAGAAAGGATAGCAATACAGATCTCAATTTGATTAATTTTGGGTCCATAAACCCAGTTACATCTATTGTTTGGTCATGGTAGAAGCCATATATGAAAGAATTGGTATGCAGGAAATTAAATTTAAACCATCATCATGGGACACACAAGTATTTTCCCAATTATTGAGTTTTAAAGCTACAGCAATCAAAATATAAATAAGCTTTGCTTTACCAGTATTACCAACTCCAACCATTTAAAAATCATGAGTCAAGCTCACAAAATCATCAGCTTTTTTAAAGAGATGGATTCAAGCTTTTCTTTGCAATCATGAAGACTAGCCTTTAAAAAAATAAAAATAAAAATAAAAGCTACAATTTTCATGAAATGGTATGAGTCTAGGGAGCCAGGGCTTTAAGAAAAAACACCATGTGTAGTGAGACTCAATAAAATGATGGGAGCTGGCAACACAGGATTACCCTCTGCATTAGAGCCAGTCACTGATTCACAACTATCACCTAAGAATGAAAGGAGTTTCTTAAGCCTACTAGAGTTGATACAAAATTTTCAACCTTTTCTCTTAACGGACAAACTCTGCTCTCCTATGCAACTTTGAAGTGGGAGTTGCTCCATTGACTTCAGACAAGTTATTCTCAAATTACATCAGTGAAGGCCACTGACTACATTAGTTTACACCAGCTGAAGATCTGGCTCTGTAATACTAGTACAAGGACACGAAAAAAATATAATCACTGACTTTTAATACAGTCCCAACATCAATTAGACTTGTTAACCATGGCCTTAAAATAGTAATCTGTGACCAAGCAACTGTGTATGAAAAAAGAGTAAGGTCTGAGAAAAAGCAGCAAACTAAGTAGGAGAATAAAGCTGTTTATAGCTCTTCTAAATATATTCCCATCATCATGGCTAGAGCTATAGCTATCCTCCACCTCAGAATCTATGGTGTTGTTGCTTTCAATACTTATTTCTGATTTACAATTATCCACCACTGACATGGAGTTAAGATTCTTCCAATATTTTGGGGTTGTTTAATGCAAACACTCAAAAAATTACATAGTTATTTAAGGCCCTTGGAATTTTGAACATTTTGTTCCCCTTTTAAAAGAAGCACTAGAGTGCTATCTACCAGATTTTAGGACTCCCTCGACAGAAGAGTGATTCACCAGCCAGTGTACACCTTCATGGCTGTGTATGGCACAGCAGACTCCTCTTCCTTGCTGCTCCCTCTCCTCAGCCACTCCAAACTTGTGGTGATCCCCGTGTGACTCAGCCTCTAGCCAGGTTATGTTCAGTCCCATCCCTTAAAAGGTAACAGAATTCCAGAAACAACAGTCCAGTGACATTATGCCAGGTCTTCAGCCTGACTCTGGGATCAGTGGTTTATACCTTTTATTTCAGGTGCTTTCATGCCACCTTCCTTGGTGATTGGTAGGAGAACACAGGCCCTCCCTCTACACTAGGAACACTATAGCAAGCAGCTAAGGCAGGGGTGGGCAAACATTTTGGCCCGAGGGTCACATCTAGGTATGTAAATTGTATGGCAGGCCACAAATGCTCACAAAATTGTGGGTTGAGGTGCAGGAGGGAGTGAGGACTCCAACTGGGGGTGTGGGCTCTTGGATGGGGCCAGAAATGAGGAGTTTAGGGTGCAGGAGGTGGCTCAGGGCTGGGGCAGGGGGTTGGGGTGCAGCTGGGGGAGTGAGGGCTCCAGCTGGGGGTGCGGGCTCTGGGGTGCAGGAGGGTGGGACCAAGGGGTTCAGAGGGTGGGAGGTGAGTCAGGGCTGGGGTAGGGGGTTGGGTGTTGGAGGGGGGTCAGGTGTGCAGGCTCCAGGCGGCACTTATCTCAAGTAGCTCCCGGAAGCCATTGCATGTCCCCCCTCCAGCTCCTACTTGGAGGCACAGCCAGGCGGCTCTGCACGCTGCCCTATCCGCCGGTACCACCCCTGCAGCTCCCATTGGCCGTGGTTGCTGGCCAATGGGAGCTGCGGGGGTGGCACTCGGGGCGGGGGCAGCGTGCGGAGCCCCCTGGCTGCCCCTACACATAGGAGCCAGAGGGGGGACATGCTGCTGCTTGTGGGAGCCACACGGAGCCATGGCACACGTGCAGCAGGGAAAGCCCCGGAACCTGCTCCCCGGCAGGAGCTCGAGGACCAGATTAAAATGTCTGAAGGGCCGGATGCAGCCCCCGAGCCGTAGTTTGCCCACCCCTGAGCTAAGGCCTCCTTCCTCAGACTGCCTGTGTCTCCTTGGGCTACTTCCTACCTCAACACCTTTTTGGGCTCACTCCTCTACAAACTCTTCACCCCTTCACAGACTCAGCAGAAGTCTTTCCTGCTCCTTTAACAAGCAACATCTCCCAGAATTTCTCCCTGAAGGCTTGGCTTCTGTCTGCCTCTCTCAAAGTTCTTTGCGTGTCCTGCTTTGAGCAGGAGGTTGGACTAGATGACCTCCTGAGGTCCCTTCCAACCCTGATATTCTATGATTCTATGCTTCTCTCTTTCCGTAGGAAAACAACCCAGGTCTGCCTCCCTGCGACCTTACCCTTTGGTCAAGGCTCACTTCATACAGGAGCTTGCTCCCTGTGGTTCCCAGTGTTTCTCATGGCCCTTTGCCACCACTCCTTGAGAAAGAAGCTCAAGGCCTACTCTCCCATGGGCCTCCTGCCTCCCTTCTACTGCCCTGAAGTCCTTCCTCTATAAGTCACCTTGCTCCTCTCAGCTAGGACTCCTCCTTAATTCTGCCATGCAGCAGGTCCTGTTCCTAAATTGTGTTTGGCCCATATTCCAGGTGCACAAATTGCTCTCTGACTCTAGTTGACTCTTTCTCTGCAAGTAAAGGATATACACCCAATCACAGACTTTTTTTCCATTGCAAAATGTTACAGTGCTAATTAGTTTATTTTAAAAGGAAGATTCGTAGAATCATAGAAGATTAGGGTTGGAAGAGACCTCAGGAGGTCATCTAGTCCAAACCCCTGCTCAAAGCAGGACCAACACCAACTAATTATCCCAGCCAAGGCTTTGTCAAGCCAGGCCTTAAAAACTTTTAAGGATGGAGATTCCACCACCTCCCTAGGTAACCTATTCAAGTGCTTCACCACCCTCCTAGTGAAATAGTATTTCCTAATATCCAAACAAGACCACCCCGATTGCAATTTGAGACCATTGCTCCTTGTTCTGTCATCTGCCACCACTGAGAACAGCCAAGCACCATCCTTTTTGGAACCCCCCTTCAGGTAGTTGAAGACTGCTATCAAATCCCCCCTCACTCTTCTGCAGACTAAACAAGCCCAGTTCCCTCAGCCTCTCCTCATAACTCACTTGCCACAGCCCCCTGATAATTTTCGTTGCCCTCTGCTGGACTCTCTCCAATTTGTCCACATCCTTTCTGTAGCAGAGGGGCCAAAACTGGACTCAATACTCCAGATGTGGCCTCACCAGTGCCGAATAGAGGGGAATAATCACTTCCCTCCATCTGCTGGCAATGCTCCTACTAATGCAGCCCAATATGCCATTAGCCTTCTTGGCAACAAGGGTACACTGCCAACTCATATCCAGCTTCTCATCCACTGTAATCCCCAGGTCCTTTTCTGCAGGACTGCTGCTTAGCCAGTCGGTCCCTAGCCT